CCCTCCTCCTCATGCAGAGCCCTGCCTGGGTGTTTGTGTAATTTCAGAGCTGCTCTGCCAGGTCACACCAACTTTCACACCACCACCTCCCTCCCTTCCCCTTGCACCAGCAGCTCGCTCTCCCTCCTGCAGCAGCAACTCCTGGCTCTGCCTGCTCGATCCATGCAAATGCAAACCATGAGGCCCCAGAGGTTGTATCTGAAGAAGCAGGTGATGAACATTCCTCCCCAAAAGGGCAAATTTACTACGGGACCAGGAGAGTGTTTCTTCGCTTCATTGCAGCAAATTGCTCTGCTAACACATCGTGGCCAACTCCATAGGACGGGTGCAAAAAACATGAGGTTCTGCTGCTGTTAGATACTTCTTGGATACTTATCCAGGTGCTTTTCTTCCCATTACTACCAAGGGCATCTGTTTTAAAAGCATACCTGTCTGGATTACCGTTTTGTCTATTCCTGCTAGTTATTCTGCACCTGGAAGCAGTAATCTGCTGTTCTGTTGCCGTAATTCTCTTGCAGCAATTACATTCAATGCTGCACAAGAGAGTTGTGATTCCAGTGATAAACAGGCAGCGAGATCAAATATTGACTCATAAAATTAGGTTTCTTTATGTAATTCCTTCTTGATCCCAGCTATACCCAGCTTTGACTCTGATGCAATGTACTTTATAGAGTTATTTTTGCTTTGCTATTGTAACCACAGCCAGGAAGAATTTCAACCGTGATCTGCCTGGACAGTTTTAAGGTTTGTTCTTCCTTATGTTGTGGTGATGCTTCAGTCACTAATGGGCTGTTGTGTGCTGTTAGATAGGCTCTTGTGCCCAGCAAAAGCACGTTTGTTTAGGACACCTGCTAGAGAAGTTTTCACAAAGGCTAAATACCTTCTTCTGAGCAGAATGGTCTGTACCATAATATCTTTGCTATTTCTTCTCTCAGTTTTCTTGGGGAGGGACACAGACAGTCAGATATGTTCAGCTGAAGTGGATGCCTATTTTTTTTGTCAGGGTACTGCTCTGTAAAAGGAGAACTTGGAATTATATTAGTGATTATTCTGGACCTATGTTCTTAGCTCCATTGTCCTTTTTGGTTCATGTGTTTTGAGCAGAAAGCACATAATTTATCAAGTATACCAGTATGGTGTCTTGGAGATCAAACACCAAAGAGAAAAATATCTGGATGAGAGAAAGTCCCCTAGAGGTGTTTTTTTATTAATCCATTAATTAAGAATACCAAAATAAGTGTATAAGGTATCAGTCAGCATGCCTTAATTATATTTAGTCATCCTTTGTTGAGGTTCATGGTCATTAACTGCTGTAGTGGAAATATAAGTTCAGACAAAATTGTGCTGGTGAGGGGCAAGCTATCAGCTAGACAGAGGGAAAAGTCATCTATGCTCATCAGGCAGCCAGCAAAACATGCTTTTGCAGCTGTTCAGGTTTTTTTGTTGTTGCCATGCCACAATGAATCCCAAAATACCAGTGCCTACAAGGCAAAGGCAATGAGGTTTCAGTGGCTTAGTGGATAAAGCACTGAATGGGGGCTCTGGAGATCCGGGCTCAGTTTTCAGATCTGGATGACTCTAAGCACATCACATCCCCAGCCAGTGTATGGGAAACGTCCAGATGACGGCAGCTCCTTGCTGATGCTGCCAACCTGCAGGCTGTCACCAAATGAAGAGATTGAAGACTTTTCATGAGCGCCTTAGCAAATGCATTTCCTTCTGAATCCACCCACTATTGAAGCAAAAGGTGCAAAATTCATCAAATGGAACAAAAAACTGAGAGTAAAGATTAACGTTCACAGAAAACAAAGAGAAGAGCCCCAAAATACTAAAAGAGCAGACTGACAAACTGCTGAGGTATCACTGACTACTGGGAACAGCACAGCAGCAGGAGGAGACCATTACAGCTGCTGTTGAAGAAGGCTGGAAGAGCTGTCCCCCTCCATGGAAGACATGCAAAGGTCCCTCAAGAAAAACCTTTG